CAGCAGCAATGTCAGCGAGATAAGTAACAAAGTTAAGTGCATATAGGTTTTGGAGATGGTGAAAATCCATTTGGCTGGCGTTTATCTTTTGAATTTAGTAATAATAATAACAATCCATCCCGTCTGTAGTGGTAGCCTAAATATTGATAAGTTCTCATTAAATATGTCTTTTGTTTTCAATTAAATCCTGATGAACTAAAAAGCCCAAAAGACAAAGCATGTATCATTGTGGAGGATCATACACACCAGACAAAGAGATTTTTCACGACTTGGCAACCCAAAAGTTGTTGGGTTTATTACTTATTTATAAAGCATTATAGATTATTTATTAACATTAGCAAAGCCATTAATACAGCCTTGTTAGAAAAGAGAACACTTCCTGACATTATAGAGTAGGTCAAAGATATCTTGCGCAGAGGCACACGGGAAACACCAGACAACGTCCTGCAGTTCTAAAATGTGCATTACAATGATATAAAATATCTCAAATGTCGAATCCCTTGTGCTATATAGTGAAGCCCCAATTTAATGTATCCAACTGATGTTCTTGTCATGTAGCTTGTCCCATGCTGGACTCCGGCCGACCTCTGCTCAGCCCATCACGCACTGTCTCTTCATATGTCGGAAGACGTTTACATTCATCGTATGAGGGCAGCTGAGCAGCAGGAGCCGGACCCACCAACCTGTCCGGCGTGCAGCTCTCCACGAGCGGTTCTTGTGATGTGGTGACAGTTGGGGGTCCAGTGTGCGGCGGGGTGAGCTGCCTGGATCTGTAGCACAACACTCGCTGGATAAAGTATCCCACGGCGATCAGAAGCAGCATAATAAGCACTCCGGAAAGTTTCCGGGTGACCATGGCGATGTTGTAGTAAGTGCGGTCCACGAACTGCTTGCAACAGGTGACGGTGGTGGTGTCGTTTCCCTGTGCGCAGCAGACGTGGTCATCCCGACAAACGTCCTGTCCACATTTTCGGATGGAATGAACAACTGTGCAAACAATACAGCAGACAATGAACACCGCCAGCGACTGGCATCTGTGGACAAACATTGTTGTTCTAAGGGCAGAAACAATCCGGTGAATCGGTGGCAAAGCTTGGGAAACAGGGTGCAGGCGAGACGATTCACTTGTGGATAATGCGCTGAAAGATGCGTTGGTTGAGAGGCTGACGCAGAGCCATCATCGACGCACCGCATGCCCAGAGGACATGTAAAATACTGATAAAAAGAAGGAAAACGGACAATGGAAGTGATACAGTATGTCCATACTGAATAATCAGCACTCAGTTTTCACCAAAGTACAACTGGGGCAAGACACAGACAGCTGATTGTGTCTCTGCAACATATGAATATGTTAATAAGCTTGGCATTAACTCCTAAGTGTACTTCAGTGAGCTCCTGATTTATTATGCACTTAGCGGGTGGACTGATGCCGTCCAGCAAATCGTAAACACAGTCTTACAAACAATGGCTTATTCATTTCATATGAAAGTAAACAGGCGCCCAGGAAATCGACCAGTCGTGTCGGAAGCACTGAGAAATGACCCGTGATTAATCATGAAGGTAGGAGGGGGGGGGACATTCAATAATACAAGGGGACCTTCAGAGGCAATCGTTGAAGTTTCAGCACCGCGGACAGCGCTCAAAACACCCAATGGGGGAAGCAATGAGGGGCGCTGTCCGAGGTACTGACCCAACTAAACCCAAATAACTCAAATGTTCTAGCTGGCGAGAGCACAGAGATTTTCCATTTGCAATATTAATACTAGTGTACATTAAAGGGGTCAAGTCAGGTCTTCCTTAAAAGGCTGCAATGGCCGATTTCCATTTAGGCTGATTAGTAACCATGATGCTGGAAGTGCAAACAGCTGCACGTCAACAAGGATTCTCGCAAAAATTGCTGAAAATAAGTCAATAAAACAGAGAGCTGTGGCAAAAGGCAACATTTTATATTGCATCATATACCCTCACAATGATTAATCAATAATGTGACTACAAGACAAGTAGGATGTGGGTAGTAATGGAGGGAAGTGCTCCCTAATAGCATGTCTGCTTTTCTCCACAGTTGCTGGTATTATGTTTACAGTGGCTGTCAATGAGATGCATTGTTTGTGTATTTGTGTTAAAATACACAAACACACAACACATCCCTTTATTTTGGTCTAAATGACTTTGAGTGCTTAAAACCCAATGCTAATTAAATTGTTTGCTGAAGACATCTCAGGTTCTCAGGCAAATAACTACTAGATGCTGGATTTTGTAAAGATCAGATATCAAATAATTGAGATAACTGTTATGCTCGTGTGTTTTGTGTTAGACAGGTATAAGGGGGGAAAAGTCATGTTAATGTCCATTATTTACTGGGGAAAAAAAGCTTTGTCAATTGTACAGGAAATACGAGAATTGTAACAGTAATTGCAAGACGATTTGATGGTTGAGAGTAAAGATCACAGGAATAACTTTATTTCAAGCCAGAAGGTATTTTGAATGACAAGATTAATCTCTGAATTCACAGTGGTTGTCAGCTGTGTCCAGAATGTTTGTTTCTCCTGCACATACAGGCAATGTTTTTTTTCCTTTATTTTTTTAATCCACTGTGCCATCCAGAGTCTCAGGTGGTCCGGTTCTTTGGTGGAAGTGCTGTTTTCAAATCTGTTGGCCTTGTGTCGATTTTGCTGGAGGGCAGGACAGTAATGGGTCCCAGCTGGATAGTTTGCTCTGTAAAACAAATCACATGGGGGTGTCATTCAAAAATGTTAAAGTGTTTTACAGCTGCACAAAAGTACGTAAATAAAACTGGTTTAATGCTCATCAACTGATAAAGTAAACCAAACACATACTGTTAAACACTGGTACTGTAAATCAATTACATAGATTTCCAAATTTACTTTGCATTAAGGACCTGGGAATTTTGAAGAGTTAGGAAAACAGAATGCACCTTTAAAATGGCTAAAATGTAAGATATGTCTTACTTATTGATCTTATCTAAAAAGAACAAAAAAGTAAGAATTTAGTAAATTCAATTTGTGTTGTACCTGCTGTGGACTCTACCCCTCTCTTCATCAGTCTAGCAGAGGATTGCTGAGGTTTGTTGAGTTGGCTCGGGTGCAGTTTTGGATGAAAACGGAAATAACTGGCAGTGTGTTGTCTGGGTCTGTTCTGGACTAAACTCTCCTGTGGAGTCATGTGGGGCCATACTTGTGTACTTATACTTGTGTTTGTGGTAGTTTTAGGAGATTCTGTGGACTGTGGCTTCTCAACCCGATGGGAGATATCGCAGCTTCTACACGTCTGGTCGTTCCCATCAACTGACCTCCATCTGGATGAGGAGGCAAGAGAACTGAGTGAGATCATCAGTGCAGCTCATAGTAGGCAACGTTTTCAGATGGCATTCAAGAGGTACAACTTTACTACTTATTTTCTGATTATAAAATTGCTGCATCATCAGTTTAATACCTGTTCTCAATTAAAGAGCAGGCCCTGTTCTGAGAGCTGGCTGTTAACAAAACTGGAACAGCCTTCACGTAGCAGGTTATGTAGACCTGGGGGAGGGGGGGGGAGAGAGAGAGAGAGAGAGAGAAGAGAGAAGAGACGAGAGAGAAGAAAGAGACGAGAGAGAGAGAGAGAGAAATACAATTATGCTCCTCTCTCATCCCTCATGCATATTGTACAGTAATGTAACTAAAGGGAGTCTTTTACTGCACTGGCATGCACTTATAGACATTAAACCTTTAATTGAAAAACAATTAACCAACCTGATTGCTGGGCTCCTGATAGAACCTGAAGGCATCAAGTTGAAACCTCAGCTTGTGCTCTTCAACTCTTGGTAAGAAATGGGACCTTGAGTTTGTCAAGTAAGCATCAGCGAGACATCTGTTACGGTAACAAAAGAAGACAAATTCAGTTACTTTAAGCTCAAAAGAAGTCACAAAAATGACAACAATTTTAACAATAATCTTCATTTTATGGTTGCAGGATGGTGGGTTTTGAGATTCGGTAGTGGAACTCACCCGTAATTCTCAATAAAGTCGTATCTTAATGCAGCCTCTGCATCAGGAGTTGCCGTGGCAACACAGTGGTCAACATAGACTCGCAGGGGCGTGTGGTCACCAACGACGGCAGACACTTCTAAATGAATGGGGTCGCCCAGGTAGTAAGAATAAGATCCCCTCTTAAACTGCCAATCATCTGTGAAGATATGATAATTTAAAAAAAAGAGAAATTCAAACATTCAAGAAATTGTCCTAAAAGAGAAGCTCAATGATCATAAAAACTAAATGGCATAACAATATTCTGAGGATGCATGAAAAACAAGAAGATGCTCCATCAATGTCATCCTTTTAATACCAGTCATGAGTAGCACATAGAAATCTATCTGACTCTCTGCTGAGGTCATGGAGACAAAAGGAACCCAGGCGGGATGCACGGAAATGCCATCCACAGCATACCTCCTGAAAATAGACAGCAGAGCAATATTTCAGGGTTAATTTTCCAGAATAAAGGAATAAACCCAAGTAGAGACAGTACACACAAACTACCATGTCAAAATGTACAGGACTTACTTTTCATAATGACATTCCACTGGAATGGTTGCTCCATCCAGTCTTAGCAAA